GATTCATATAAAACATGATTATTGATTACCTAACCCGTAAATGAATTGGCAATATAATATACAGCCATTTCTACTCAATTAATGAACTAGCAAGGCAGGACATACAGTCATATATGTCTAACTCTTGTCATATAATATCAGAGCAACTGTAAACATACACATCCTTTTAGACTCAGTACCCCGCCCCTCTCTGATGTGTACTTTTTAGGCGTTGTCCTATGGAACTTCTCTGAGGTCTACCAATCATAAATTCATAAACTATTGTGCTTGTACATTGTCCATCCACTTTGTACCAGGTCCTGTGCTAGGATATGGTAATGATTCATTTTAGTGTACACCCTTTTATGAGAAGTAAAAGTTCTAATGTACTTTGCTAATTCTGTGGAAGGTGATTCTTTTTTCTCCTTGCCTGTATTTTAAGAACACATTTCTTAAAAACATAGCTGAGTATTGTTCCAGTGTTTGCTTATGACAGAGCCCTGAAGAATCCTTTAAAGGACAGTTGAAGGGATGTAAAGAGGACTGTTGATTCTCCTATGCTAATTATAATCTTCTAACTTTGTTAAAAAGCTATGATTTCTTGTCATCTGTTGGCAGCAGGGAACAGAGATATGGGGCATACTTTGACTCAGCAAGCTGGTCTTTGTATCTTTCAGTCCAGAGCAAGCTACCTTGCTTGAAGTATCTCAGCCAAGTATTTGTTTTAGTTCATTCTCTCCTAAGTAGGTGTTCATTACTTGTATTCAAGTGGACCTTCCTTTCATTCTCCTTCCTTCTTCTTTCCTCAGAGCCAGGACTGCCTACAGTTGGGTCCTCCTGCTGAAGGAGAAGTGGTTCAAGTGAGATGGACGGATGGCCAAGTCTATGGAGCTAAATTTGTGGCCTCCCACCCCATCCAGATGTACCAGGTATCTGGGGGTTCTTGCTAGGGAGTTGGGAGTTGGTGGGTATTTGATTACTTCAGTGCTTTCTTTTGGGTGAGAGATGAGTCTATACTCTTGAGAGAATTAGTGGATCCAGTAACAACCTTTTCAGACTTTAGGGGTCTGTCCTGGGTCAGGTCTGCCAGCAGGGTTTCAGACATGGCATTCCTTACTCCAGTGTTATAACACTTTCCTTTGGCTGCAGGAAATTGCTACTCTGCATGGTAGACCAGGGGAATCTCAGGGATATTTCAGCCCAAAGGACTCTGTTTCCTTGGCAGGTGGAGTTTGAGGATGGCTCGCAGCTTGTGGTTAAGAGAGATGATGTATACACGCTGGATGAAGAGCTTCCCAAGAGAGTCAAGTCTAGATTGGTGAGTGTGTTTTCTGTGTACCCTGGGCTCCTGTCTGGGAGGGGAGGGAAGATGGCAGGAGTATGTCCTTTTGTTTTTTTTCTTGGGATAGTTGGCCACAAAGTGATTATTTGGCTTGCCTGTCCTACTGTAGTCAGTAGCCTCAGACATGCGCTTCAACGAGATTTTCACGGAGAAAGAGGTTAAGCAGGAAAAGAAACGGCAGCGGGTAATCAACTCGAGGTACCGAGAAGACTACATCGAGCCTGCACTGTACCGGGCCATCATGGAGTAGGCATTTCCAAGGTCCAAGAGGTTCCCAGCCATCAAGGCGAGAGCACTCGGGTTCCACAGCACAGCAGACACTCGGAACTCTGAAGTCTTTAAAAGTGAAGTTGTAAAAAGAAAAGGAATGAAATAACCAACCCCATCACCTTCTCACCCCAGCTGAATTGCATTCCGCTGTAGAGAAATGACAAGCTGTTTTTGGACATGTGGCAGCAGCCGTTGATCTCCCAGCTGAGGGGCTGAGCACTGGAATGCTGTGGCTGCATTAGCCCCCAGTCTGAAAAGGGGTCAGCTGTGCTGGCTGGGCGGGTTCCCCTGTTCCTGGCCTAGGACTTAGCTTCCTGCCAAGCACCTGCACCAACCAGGCAGAGGTGCTGGTGTTTGACCCAACTCTCCTTTTGTATTTATGTGTGTGTGTGTGTGTGTGTGTGTGTGTGTGTGTGTGTGTTTGGGTGTTTGGGTGTTTGGTCTAGACCAGCTTCTGTCAGCCCCTGGCCTTTACTTTTTTCTTGCCTCTTTAGGGCAAACAAAATGTGAAATTCCGCCCTCAGCTGAGCTGAGTAAGGGCCCCTGTGGGTTGGCTGAAGATGGGTGTAGCCATCTATTCAGGCTTGGAAAGGCCTCAGGAGTGCTGGCAAAGCTGCAGTGATGAGAGGCTAAGGAGTTGATGCCACCTTTGTCCTCCCTTGAGGAGAATACAAGGGTAACATGGATATGTGCCCGCAACACTCTAGGCACAGAACCCCTGTGGCACAGTATTACTTGGTGTGGGTAGGGAATACCCCAAAGGGAGGATTTTAATGATGGAAGCAGGCAGAGCCTGGTGGGTGATTCTGTCAACAGAAAATTGCAATCATGCAGGGGCTGGGAGGGTTAGAGTGAATTGGGGCCACTGGAGGCTAGGGGCAAGTATAGATATGCCCTTGGTCTTAGGGTGGGAGGGTGCTGATTTGAGGGTGGGGGGTGGGAATAGAGGGCAACACTGAAGGGGTTAAACAGGTTTTTGCTCCTCTTGAATTTGTTTGCCTGGGCCCAGGATTGTAGGGCTTCATACTTAACTCTGTGTATACAAGAATCAAATTTATAAACTTCCCCATTTTTTGTTACGTATGAACGCTATAAACCAAATTATTTTGAAAACTGGTGCATCACCTTGTCCTTAGCAATAAAAAGTGTGTTGAGCAGATTGGCTGTGTCTGCCCCAAGGAGCCCAAGTGGCCAAGGGTCAGGCTGGGGTTTATCAAGAGTAATATGCTCTGAAACAGGGCTGTGTATTTAAAGAGTCCATGAGGCAGAGTTTGGAAAGTGGTTCCAGGAGAGGGCTCCCTTCCTTGTTAGGCTCCATATTAAGCCTCATGGTGGGCCATGAGGAGCAGGGACATTTCTCGCTATGAGCACCTCCTTTTGCTTACTCTGCCCTAGAGGGGCCAAGAGGAGGTAAGGGTGGAAGGACCAGACTACTGAGTCTTATCAACATAGTTTGATTTCTTATTTCCACCCCATTTGATAAATCCTAAACTGGGCTAAGTCCATGCCAGCATCTGTGTTTCATACATGTTGTGGAACCAATTTGAAAGAAAGCAGTGTTTACATTCTAGGTACTTGGAGAGCAAGTGACTTGTACCCAGTAGGGTTCTGAAGTTGCTCTCCAAGCTACCTATAGTTGGTGAAAAGCTTCCCAGGAGGAATATCCTCTTTGCCTTAAGGTTGATGGGGACAAAGGGGAGCCTCAAGGCAGAAAGGGGACAATAAATAGGTGTCAGACTCTGGTGCAACATAGCAGTTCTAGCTGGCCTTCAGAGGTGCTTCCAGTGGCGTGTCCCTGTCCAGGAACAGGAGATAAGAGTCACCTCAGCTACCCAGTGCTTCATGTCCCTGGGACTTGGGAGGTGGCTGCTACTTGGTACTGATTGTAGGTGAAGGGAAGAGCAAAAGGTTTCAAAGATGCTTTTCTATACCAACTCCTGGTGTCAAGGCAAGGTTGACCCTTTGCCTTTTACTCAGGGAGTCCCCGAGGATGTGCCAGGAGAGGCTGGGCAGATCCTGGACTTAATGGAATGTTCAGTGGGCCCTGGGAGCACACATGTTTGCAGGGGAAAAAACACTAACCTATCTTTCTCCACAGGGTCTAGGCCTCCCCAATGCTCTCTGACCCTGCTGTCCCTAGTCATGCTGAAGGACCTGCAGGCCAAGGTGTCTGATTTAATATCAGTAGAATTCTTAATTAGAAGCCAACCTTTTTCTTTTTTTTTTTTTTTTTCTTACTTTGTCCTTGAGGAACCCAAGTTCAAAGGGGTGATGAACTGGCCTGTTTTTGTTTTTTTAAGTGATCCAACCCAGGCTCTTAAGCATGCTAAGTATTTGCCCTACCCCTGAGCTACACCTCAACCCTGGCTTGTGCCTTTTTCCTTCGCTGGCTAGTTAGGTCTGAGTTTGAGTTTCAAGCAAGACTGACCCAAATTAAAAGCCAGACCAGTTCCCCCGTGCCGGCTTGCATCCCCTCAAGCCCTTTTTATAAGAAACTGCTTTCCTTTAGTAATGTAGGGTCCTTGGGTCGGTATATAAAAAATTACAGTTCAAGTCCCTTAAGGCCAGGGCTTGGCTGAGGGAAAGAGGACGCTGGATGGGAGAGGGGGACTCCCTGGAGCTGCAGTATGGTGGGTGGGGTAGTCGTGTGTCCCGACTAAACATCTACTATTTCTGAAGTTAGTAATGTCCGAGGGCAATCTGTACCTCCGTGCCTTCTTACCCCACAGAATTAATTAAGCAGGGCTCCCGTAGGTCCAAAGCCTTGGGTCTCAGGACGGAACTGCTGCTCGCAGCCTGGAGGATGAGATGAGGCATCCTTTGGCGTGAAGTGACCGCGACCACCTGTACTTTGGGACACACTCCCCAGCAAGGAAACACGCTCTCAATGGGCTGGGTCTTAGGAGGCGTCCGCGAGGAAAGTGTGTCCTCTGGGCCTAGGAGAGGACGAGGCGAGGTCGTCCGCGCTGCACCCGCGGCAACCCCAAGCACTGCATCTTCCGCAGTCTGGGTACCCCTGGCTGGCGGGATGGGCGGGGCGCCCGCCGCGAGCTCGGGGCTCCGGTGCCTATTGGGCCGCCCTGTCCTGCGCCCGCCCGCCCTGCGGCGCAGCCCCGCATTGGTCAGCCCGGCGCCCCGCCCGGCTCTCGTGCGCCCATTGGCCATGGATGCCCGACCCCCGGCTAGGGCGCTAAGGCGAAGAGCGGGATTGGTGGTCCAGCCGTCCCGGCTTGCGGCCACGCGCTCCGCCCGC